AATTTCATAAAGCAGATGACAATCCCTGGGCCTCGACTTACTGAGAGTCAGGTGCTCACAGGAGACAGAATAAACAAGTCCTATCTACACAATGTTAGAGTTGAAACCCTCATGGCCTTTTCTACATATGGTGGCATCCTCCCACATTCTGACTAGAATGATGGGGTCTAGCAACAAGTATAAACTGGGTGGATTTAGGGTTCTAAAGAGCCTTTTCATCCAGAAAACATGTGATAAAAGATGTGGCCTCTGCCTGGGGAGACACTAAAGGAGTCCTGGGGCTCATACTTCTTATAATTCCCATGAGAAGGCTGACATCTGGAGACTTCCCCCACAAGAGGCAAATAGTGAGTTCTGTATATGGAGACTTAGGTGCCCTGCAAAGGAGAGGGGAGGCTGGGGTCTCAGCTGGCCACTGAGAGACCCATGCCCGGTGCCGTGGCTTCCCAACCCTACCTGTCCTCCTACAGCCAACATCTGCGCCTACCCTCCTAACCCCAGGACCAGCGGCCCCAGAGCTGGAGCTTGATGAGCAACCTGCTCACAAATCAGCCTGGAGCTGCAGTCTTGAGTGCCCAGGTGCACAGTGCTGTGCTCCAAGGCCTTTGGGAAGAGAATGTCAGTGGGACACCGGGGTGCACAAGGGTCTGTACAGCCCTGCTGCATGGCCAGGTCTGCCCCTTCCAGGACAGCACTGATGGCTTGAGGAAGGGTGGGGCTGTCCTCTACACAGGCAGCAACATGCCAGGGACCCAGAACCACGCAAGTGTGCCCTGGAGGGTTGTGTGGGAGAAGGTCAGGCCTCTGACTCAGCTGTCTACTCCATCACCAGCACCATCACCTCCATTTTGTTCACCTGGCCCCTTGAAAACACTTCAGTTTGCTATCAGCCCCCGCAACGGTCATCTTTCCGGATAAAGCTGGCCTTCAGGAACTTCGCCTGGCCTGGACTGGGCGTGGAGGACCACCAGGAACTTGTCCTAGGCCAGTTGGTACTTCCGGAGCCCAACGAGGCCAAGCCAGATGGTGAGGTGACTTGCAGTCTGGAAGACTTTCCGGGGACGGTGTTGTGGGGCTACCATTCCCTTACATTTCATCTGGTCATTTCTGTGCTTGGAAAGCCCAGTGAAAAGTGACTGGTGTCATGACCTTTTCTCCTTTTCCAGATCCTGCTCCACCTCCTGGGCAACACGCATTAACAATGCCGGCCCTGGAGCCAGCACCACGACTGCTGGCGGACGTGGGGCCTGCTCTGGAGCCAGAGTCAGGGGCAGCCCTGGGTGCACCAGGATATCTGTATTCAGCACCAGGACCAGCACCAGGGGAAGGGTCCCCTCCAGCGACACTGCTGGAGCCACAGTCCGCCTCAGAGTCCCCCACTCCCTCTTCCGGGACTGTGAAGAACCAACTTGAGGAGATGCCTGACATCACAACCTTCCCTCCCAGGCTGCTGGCAGAGCAGCTGACCTGCATGGATGCGGTGAGCAGCTGGGCTTTGCAGGCTGTGCCTCTGGCACTAGCTGTCTCAGACCAGCCTCTACCTGAGGAGTGGCCAATGCCCTGGGTCGAATGTCATCCCCACTTCTTACCAAACATGGGATCTGGATGAGTTTCCTCACGCACAAGCCTTCCCTGACTACATATGGACAGCAGAGATGGCACGTCACCTGTGCTAGCTCCACAGAGTGTGCAGACCGAATGACAGGGGATGGACAGAAAGCAGGACAGGGCAGGTGCTCACTGAGGGGCAGGCAGGGCCATGGGTCACTCACCCAGCCGCTTAGGAGCCTCATGACCCTCAGCGCTTATTAGGTACCTGATGCATACCAGATTCTATGGCAGACACCCAAACAGAGCCCATAGTTGCAGCTGCCACAAGGAAAGTGCACCAGTATGGAGAGAAGGAGTACAGGGCTGACTGGGATGGGAGGAAGACGAGGTCTCAGGACGGGAAGGCCTGAGCCACCTTCTACTCCTTGGAATGCGGATGGCCTGGGAGAAAATGTCACTCTCTCTTCCCACTCTTGTTGGGTTCTGAGCCATGATGCACTCAGGGCCCTCAGTGGGCAGAAAATCAAACCCAGGGACCCCCACATGTCTGGAGCCCATTTTAAAGCTTTCTGAACTCCAGCTCGGTTCCTGCCAGAGACCATGGATGACTGTGAGCTCAGTCCCTGCCTGGGACTGTGGGTGACTCTGAGCTGGGGTGTGCTCTGTCCATGACACTCTCCTCCTCCCCTAAAGGAGTTGTTCAAGAAGGTGGAGCTCTACGAATGCTTGGGCTCCATCTGGGGTCAACGAGCTAAGGAGGGGAATGAGCACATGGCACCCACAGTTCATGCGACCATCGCACACTTCAACAGGCTCACCAACTGCGTCACCACCTCCTGCCTCGGGAACCATGGCATGAGGGCCCGGGACAGGGCCAGGGTGGTGGAGCACTGGATCAAGGTGGCCAGGGTAAGCCATGGTTGGGCCTGAGAATTTCCTCTTTAAAAATGGGGAACTGCCTCTTCTCCTCCATCAGCTTTCAGGATTGGCATCTGTATGTCTGGCTTCAGCCCTGGACATCACCTAACCCCTTCTTGTCACAGACCTTGACTCCCATGGCCCAGTGGTGGCTGCTCACTTCTGATCTGGGCTCTTCCTTGGGTTGAACTAAAATCCTCCTAGATGAGTGACATTCACTCAGCCCCAGTTGTGCCCTCTTGAGGCTCCCTGGGCCTCTGCTTATTCCAGGCAGGGAGATCTCAGCACAGCGGGCTGTGGCTTAAGTGGGCCGGGCTCCAACTGTGGAACTCACAGCTCACTCTTCCCTCTCCAGGAGTGCCTAAGCCTCAACAACTTCTCCTCGGTGCACGCCATCGTCTCTGCTCTGTGCAGCAAACCAATACATCGGCTACACGAGACATGGGCAGCAGTGTCCAGGTGAGGAGGGTTCCCTCCATAGGAGCACCAGGGTTGACCTAGGGACCCATAGGTCTCCCCATGTGCCCTCAATGACTCTGAAAGGTTCTTGGAGACTAGGGACACTGGAGGCAGGGATGGCCTGGTGGGTGTGGTCACTAAGCTGCCTTGGACTACTAAGCAAGGATTTCCAACTGAGGACTAAGGATTTTTAACCATCAGGAACAGACTGGAGCCAACTGGAGGCTTTCAGGTGTTTGCACCCAGCAGTAGAACTGTGTCCAGCTGGAAGCTAACTGTGAACACACAGGGGCTCATTTGAAGTGGAGATGGGCCAGGGGAGGAGCATGACGGGTCCCACCCTGGTCCTCTGGAGCCCTTGCCATCAGAGGACCCTACTGGAAACTCTCACCCACGAAGTTGGGATTCTCTGGGTTTTCAAACAAAAGGGATTGGATTGGAACTCACAAATCTCCCCGCTTATTCCCAAATTTGCTTTTCATTCTTTCCTCTGCCCATAGCAAAAGCACAAAACATCTAAAACAACTCTGCAAAAAAGACACTGCAGTGAAGAGGTAACTGCTGATCAAGGTACACTGGAGTCTGGGAGATGCAGGAGAAGTGTTTAAGGGTCAGAGGAAAGACTGAGTTTGGAAGGGCATTGGACCTGGTGTGGAGTGGTTATTTTCTTTTGACTTACCTACTAAAAGTGGACTTGAAAAATTCCCTCCATGCCTACCTTGGGCAAACAGAAAGAGAGGTGTGTGGGTCCACAGGCACGTGGGGGCATGGCGGCAGGAGGCCCTGGAAATGGGATGTGGCAATGGCTGCTGGGCTGCTGGGCTGCTGAGCAGGGGTGATGAGCTGCAGCATTAGCAGGGCTCTGGTTCCCGTGCTTGTCAGTGCTGCTGGCAGGGAGCTTCCTCCAGGCTAGGGTGTGGTCATGGTAGGTGGGACTTTCTTTCTTCCTCAAACTGGAAAGCAATTCCTCAGGAAGCCAGGCCTCTGCTGCTGCTTCTGTCTGCAGCGCATCTCCAAAGGCAGTGGCCTCTGCCCACACTGGGGGAGAGGGGGAACAACAACAGAGGAAGCTCATGTGCCAGGGAGTCCAGTGGACCGCCCAGCTTTGGGTACCAATGGACATACTTGGGACAGATGTACGTGTTTCCTGGGACTCCCTGCTCTGCCCTTTGCAGACACCCGAAAACGGTCATGTCACAGGATTCTCACCAGTGAGCAGTGACACATGCTCATGACAAGTATCTGGGGGGTTCATGCATTCCTAGGGGATCCTCCCTGACCAGATCTCAGAATCCTCCATGCAAATGAGAAGGCAACTTGTCACCCAACCCAAGATTCTGGAAAACCCCGCCATGTCCGTCAGAGATGGCACCTCAGGAGGCCACCTCCTGAGTGGAGGAAGAGAGTTGTGTGCACAGAACTCCCCTGGGGGATCATTGGCGAGGCAAAACCTTTGGCATAGCTCAAACCCCATTTGTGTGGCACAGACTCCAGTGGGGATCAGATAGGCAGGTGCCACTTAACCAGGTCTCCTAAAACACCCTGTCCCTTTCCCATCACGACTGTGCCTGGCTGGAGACCTAGACACTCAGGGACTCCAGAGAACACGACCCTGATGGGTGGCGGTGCTGGGATATTGGGAGAAGGCAGTGGGACAGAGCTTCCAGGATGGGGAGGAGGCGCCTTCTCTTTCGGGTCCCTGGGGAGTCACTGCCCACTCTGGGTCTCTGTTTCCTCATCTGTAAAATGAAGGGATGCTGAGCCTGTAGTGCAGCCCTCACAGGATGGAAATGAGGTTCAAGAAAAGAAAATAATTTGCGGGTGCTCATGCCTGGTTCTTCCTCAGAGGGATGAGGGGGAGAACAATGGCAACAGCTACAAGAAACAGTACTCAGCAGGCCTTGTGAGGTAGCTGTGGTTTTCATTGCTCTTTACAGAAGGGGAAACAGTCTCAGGGAGGCCCGGCTGCATGAGTGAGTGACACACACACGGAGTGTGGAGCTGGGCCAGTGGTATGAGCACTATGCCAGGTGACTCATGCCAGTCCCTGGGGATCCAAGTGTGGGGTGGCTGGGGCGTAACTGGGGGAAGAGAGGAGAGCCTCACTGTCTCTGTCACTGACACCTGGCAGGCGGGGAGCTTTAAGGTGGCCACCCAGGAGAGGAACCCCCAGAGAGCCCAGATGAGGCTGAGGAGGCAGAAGAAGGTGAGTGAGACTTTGACGTGGAGAGGCCGCAGGGGATCAGAGGACAGGGCTCCCTTTCCTGCCAGTTGGAGGCCTCCATGCGAAGACCGCAAGGACTTACTCTCCAGTCCCGTCCTCCTGTGGACACTGGGTCTGGAAAACCTCCATTTGAGAGACCAGAGCAAGGGTCTGGGAAAGCTGGTCTCAGAGTGGATGTGGGGAAGGGTAAGGTTGGGACCACATGTCCTTGTGAATTGTTAAAATCCCACCATAGAGGTAACTAGGAGTGCTTGCTAGCTTGGGGGTCAGGTGGGATAGAGGAGACAGAGAATTGGGAAAGGCAGTGGAGGGTCTTTGGTTGCTCCAACAGGGAGACCTGAAGAGGGGAGTTCCGGGAGACAGGGGCTGGTGGGACTTCATGAGACAGGACCTTGGGCAGGTACCTGAGGGCCAATACTCATCATCACTACACCTCCCCCCTCCCACCCCTCCTTGGCACAGGGAGTGGTCCCCTTCCTGGGGGATTTTCTGACTGAGTTACACAGATTGGATACGGCCATCCCAGACGATCTGGATGTGAGTGAGCCTGGGGCAGGCTGTTGGGAACCAGGATCCTGAGGGAGGAGAGGGTCCTGGACGGAGCCTTTAGATCTCAGCCCTTGGCAAACCTCCTCTCCTGAGAGCCTCACAGCTACTCCTGTGGGTGGGGGTGTCAAGCCCATCTCATTACCTCTGACTGATAGAGGCTCCATAGCTGCCACCAGTTCCTATTCCCGAGTGGTGAAGCTGCACAGCTGTCTGACTGTAAAGCTGCTGAGGTGTGGGCTGAGCTGGACTTAGCCTTTCCCTAGAGTAGTCCCGTCACAGGCCAGTGAAATTGAGCCTCTCCAAGGGCAGGCAGTTCCAGGGTCACTGAGCGCTTTCCTTCTATGAGAGATCTCAGATTTCCTGTCTGTTATCACAGAGGGTTGGGGCAGAAAGTCCCTGAGCCTCAGCTCCTATGCTCCTGGCTCTAGAGCCCGGAGCCCGGGGCAGATCCAAGTCCTGTCATGTGCACATCCCCTGACCCTGGTGGCCCTGGCAGTAATGCAGCATGGGAAGGGGTGGGGTGGGGCTAGTTGTGGGCCAGGGACCTTTCTGATGGACTCTGTCTGCCTTCCAGGGCAACACCAACAAGAGGAGGAAGGTGAGCAGCTGGGGCACTCACGCTGGATGAGGGTGGGGATGTGGACGTCACAGTCCACCCTGGACACGACACTCCCTGGCTCCATCCTCTACATCTTAGGTTTACTGGGAGGGTTTGACACACACAGAAGGAGGAGACCTAGCCCAGTGGAGAAAGCGGGAAATGGAATGGAATGAAAGTCCAGTTCCTGCAGGAGGGGCTGTTTACATCCAACTCTGAGAACAGCCTGTGGGCTGCACGGGGCCCCCTCAGAAAACTGCCCCAGGGATCAGCCCCTTTTCCCTGCCTACCAAAAGTGCTCTCAGCATCTTCCACCCAGGCCCTGTCAGCATCCTACCTTCTGTCTCTAGGAAGTCCGAGTCCTGCAGGAAATGCAGCTGCTCCAAGTGGCTGCCATGAATTACAGGCTTCGGCCTCTTGAGAAATTTGTCACCTATTTCCCAAGAATGGAGCAGCTCAGTGACAAGGAGAGGTGAGGGCCCAGGGGATGGGCAGAGGGTGGGAGAAAGCTCTCCTTTTCTTTTTTTTCTTTTTTTTTTTTAATGTGGTCTGGCTCTGTCACCCAGGCTGCACTGCAGTGTCACCATCTCTGCTCACTGCAACGTCTGCCTTGTGGGCTCAAGCCCTTCCTCAGCCTCTCAAGCAGCTGGGAGTACTGCGGTACACCATGTCCCAGGACGTGGTACAGCCTGTGCAGACACCATGTCCTGTTGTTCTCCTGTTGTTGTTCTGGTACAGATGGGGTTTCACGATGTTGTCCAGGCTGGTCTCAAACTCATGGCCTCAAGCAATCCATCCACCTCAGTCTCCCAAAGTACTGACATTACAGGTGTCAGCCACTCCACCTGGCCTAGAGGAGGCTCTCCCTGTGGCAGGCTGCAGAGAGCCTATGGCCATGACTCCATGGCCAGCATCAAGCCCTGTTGCATGGGGACCGCTGGGGACCCAGGATTCCAGCTGGGCAGGCACTGAGAGGGGACCTGATGTGTGGCTCATGGTGGCCTCACAGCTGCCTCACTGTCCTGCAGCTACAAGCTGTCCTGCCAGCTGGAGCCCGAATCACAGTAGGCCAGTAACATCCTGCAGTGGCTGGGACCCCACCGGGATGCTGGTCAGAACACCGGCTCTGCACCATCCTTCACCTAGACCGTGACACCAGGGAACCACATCTAGGTGGCTGGCAGATCAGTTGCATCTGGCCCCTGCTCTTCAACATCAGCTGCTCCTGCTGGCCAGGATCAGGCCATAGGTCTTTTGCCAGGCAGGCGGGAGACCATTTTATGTTTATTTTCTTTAGTATATAAGTAAGGGTTTTTTCTTAACTTTCATTAAAATAAAATTTTAAAACACTATGCAAAATGTTCTATTGTTGTTGGAATGAGAACAGTAACTCCAGTGCAGTAACCGTATACCAGTCTTCAGGATTCATAATCCAGTATGTCAAATTGTGGCTATGGCTGAACAAGTCATGCAACAGCATTTATATTACACATGCCAACCATTTAATGTTTTCCTTCTTTGTTCTAATTAATTATTGTTAACTCTGTTTAAGGAAAACAAACAAACAAAAACAAAGCAAAACCCTTAAAAATCAAGAGTATGTTACCCAAACTACCACACTTGTTCTACTGACCAGCAATTCTCAAATTTAAATTCTAGTTAAATTCGAATTCCACTGGGTTACTCTGTCTTAAAGTTTAAATATTTAATGAATCACTTATATATTTACTGCAGGGCTGGAGATGGGAGGTATTTAAGCAAGTGGTAGGGCTGGCCTTCTCCAGAAGTCCTGGGCAGAAGGGAGCTGGCCATCAGTCTCCACGAAATACAGATAAACTTTTTCCCCTATGGATCTTCCCAGACTTTCTGACACCTCTCCCCTAAGTGAATATCAAGGAAGGAGAGAATCATTTGAGCCCAGAATCTAAAAGGATGTCCCATGGCTTAATTTGAACACAACCCCCAGTGTGTTATATCAGAGAAAAAACAAGCCAAAGAAGTCAACATTTCAGGGTCTGAAACATTTCAGGGTCTGAAAATACCCCCAAATCAACATGAAATAAACACCTAAACCCAATCCTGGAGCCGCAAAGCTCCTATAAGAAAAGTGGGAGTCTGTATCTCAGCAAAACTTGTATCTCTGCACGCAGTTTGCAAAAAAGAAAGAAAATAAAAGCAAAAATTATCTATGGCAAGAAACCCTTAGACCATGCAATTGATTTGGCAATACTTTTTCTTAATTTTGTTCTTTTTGGATGGGACACAAAAATCACTGCTAACAAACGTGAATACAAACACATGGGACTACACATCATTTCAGAACTTACGCATGGGGAAGAGGAACAATGAACCATTAAAGAAATCATCCTACAGATTGAGAGAAAGTTCAGCAGAATCTTACATGTGAAAGGGGTTGTTATCTAACATGCATGAGAAACTAACACTACTCTAACTGGGAAAATGAACAAAACCTAATACCCAAGCTAAAACCGGGCAAAGATCCTGAACAGGCACATCTGAAAAGAAAACACGAAATTCACTGACAGGTCAAAGAGAAGCTGCTCAACTTCACTAATCCTCACACAAATGTCTAAGTACGAACCATGCTCAGAAGTGTCTCACTCTAATTAGAATGAAACTTACCAAAAACAACAGAAAACCCATACGTTCACAGGCAGTGGCCAATGCACAACAGCAGAAAAAGACACTTTTATACACTATCAGTGGCAATGTACATTACTATACACATGAAGCAAAACAGTTGAAGGTGTCTTAAACATTTTACAACTATCCGTTCACCTAGCAATCCCACCACTAGTTATACACAGAAACCACATAGAATCTGTTACATTGAGGAGATATCGGCCTTCCTATGGTGACTGATGCACTATTCACAATAGCGAAGGTATTCAATCCACCTACCTGTTCGTGCACAGATGAAGGGATAAAGAAACTGCAGGACACAATGGAATCCTCTTCGGCCACAGAAATTCATGAAACCATGTCACCTGCAGCAACGTGCAGGACCCTGGAGGACATGACCTTCAACGAAATGAGTCAGGCAGAGAAAGGCAAACACGGCATGATTTCATGCATGTGAGAATGAGATCAACTTCCTCTCTAAATGACTTTATCCCCTAGAAGTAGAAAGTTCCATAGTGGTGAAGAGAGGCCGTGGGTTGGGAAGTCCTGGCAAGGACTGCGAAAGGGACACAATGTTACACTCAGATGACAGGAATAAATTCAGCCGTTCTACTCCACAGCAGGTGTCCAGAGTTAACAGTATCCTACCATATTTTTCAAAAAAGACTGAAAAGAAGGATTCTGAATATTGCAACCACAGAGAACTAACAAATAACTACACAAGATAACAGAGACAGTCAATGCCTTGCTTTCATCATTACACAAGGTACATATGCATGGATCAAAATGTCCTACTCTACTCTATAATTGTAAACCTTTACTATAGAGCAAATTGGTTTTAAGCACATAGAAAGAAACAATGCTGAAGTATATGTGAGACCAGGAAATTCCCACATCTAATACACTAAAGAGCCACCACACAACACATGAAATTACCAACAGAGTAGACAGACAACATACAGGATGAGAGAAAATGTTCCCAAACTATGCACCTGACCAAGGCCTAATATCCAGAATCTACCTGAAAGACCTTACAGAAATCAATTAGCAAAACCCCCCAAATAACTCATAAATAGGCAATGGATATAAACACACACTTCTCAAAAGATAATGTAAAAGCAAGCAACGAATGTGAAAACATGCTAAACTTAATTAGCAGAGAAATATAAATCAAAAGCACAATGAGATGTCATCTCACACTGGTCAGAATGGCAATTACACAGTTTAAAAAAAAAAAAAAGGACACGGACGAGGCAGCAGAGAAAGGGGACACTGGTCCACTTTTGGTGAAAATGGAAAGTAGTTCAGACACCATAGAAAGCACTTCAAAGATTGCTCAAAGAATTTAAACCAGAACTATCATCTGACACAGCAAGCCCACCACTGGGGTATACACAAAGGAAAATAAATTCTTCTGTCCAAAACACACATGCACACAAACGGTCTCGGCGGCACTCTTTACAATGGCAAACACGTGAAATCAACCTAGGTATCCATCAACAGTGGATCAGAAAAGGAAAATGGGGTACATATATACCACAAAAAACTAGGCAGCTATAAAAAAAAAAAAAAGACGCAAATCATGACCTTGGCAGCAACATGAAAGGAGCTGGAGGCCATTATCTAAAGAGAAATAAGGAAAAAACAGAACACCAAATGCCACATGTTCTCACTTCTAAGGTGGAGCTAACACTGAATACACCCGACCGTAAAAGTGAAAACAATGGACACTGCTGACTATAAGAAAACAAAGGAAGAAGGGATGGAGTATGGGCTATAGACCTGCCTGGTGGGTCCACCACTCCCTGCGTGATAAGCTCTCTGGGACCCCAAGTCTCAGTATCAGGCAATATACCAAAGGCAGCAACTAATCTGCCTTTGTACCTTTTAGTCTATAATAAATGTAGAAATTATGTTAAAAAATACAAACTTAGGACCTAAAACAATGAATGAAAAACACAAACTTATAATTATCCAAACAATCTTTTATTGGCATAAACTAAGGAAGTAGTCAGAATGAGTAAACCAAATACTCAACCCCAATGTACATATAGTGAACACATTTTTCAAAAGAACACCAAAAAGGCACAATGGGCAAAAGACCGCCTGTTCAATAGATGATTTTCAGCAAACTGAATATTCACATACAAAACACTGAAATAGGACCCTTATGTCACGCAAAACAAAAATCAATGCAAAATACATTAAAGACCTAAAACTGAATTCTGAAACCACAAAACCCCTACGAGAAAACATACGGTGTGCACGTATTTTAGAAACAAATCCACGCAAGTAGGCTGCTAAAGGTATTTAAAAAACAGTAAAACAAAGCAAACACCCTAAGAAAACAACCATAGACAATGTAATGCCTTGCCATTTTTACGGAAAAGCTGGGGACCCGGTTCCACAGAACAGTGGGACAGATTAGAAGACCCAGATATAAACCTGCACATCTGAAACCATCTGATATTTGAAAAAAAATCAACAAAAATAAGCAATGGAGAAAGGACTGCCTATCAGTAAGTGGTGCTGGGATAAGTGGCTAGCTAGATGCAGAAGAAATAACACTGGGCCCCTGTGTCTCACCATGTACAGAAAGCAACTCAAAATGAATCAAAGATTGAAATGCCAAACCTCAGGCCAGGAGCGGTGGCTCACGCCTGGAATCCAAGCACTCTGGGAGGCCGAGGCGGGCAAATGACTAGAGGTCAGAGAGTTCGAGACCACCCTGGCTGACATGGTGAAACCCTGTCTCTACTGAAAAACAAAACTTAGCTGTGCATGGTGGCACATGCCTGTACTCCCAGCTACTCGGGAGACTGAGGCAGGAGAATCACTTCAACGCGGAAGGTGGAGGGTACAGTGAGCCGAGATTGCTCCATTGCATTCCAGCCTGTACAGCAGAGCGAGACTCAGTCTCTAAATAGATAAATACATAAAAATTCAAGGTCTGAAACTATGAGAAAATCCTGCGTGAGAATCTAGCAAATACCCTTCTCAACATAGGCTTTGGCAAAGCATTTAAATGTCAACTCCCCAAAAGCAATTACTGATAAATGGGACCTAATACACAAAAAAGCTGCTGCACAGAACAAGAAACAACCAACAGAGTCAACACACAGCCTATAGAATAAGGGAAAATATTCTACAACTATGCATGTGAAAAACATCTAATATCCAGGATTTATCGTAAAGACCTTCAACAAATAAAATCAGAAAACCCAAATTATAAATGGGCAAGGGACATGAACACACACTTAAAAGGAGGTGTACCACCAAGAACAGAAAACCAAACACCGCATGTTCTCACTCATAGGTGGGAACTGAACAATGAGATCACTTGGACTCGGGAAGGGGAACATCACACACCGGGGCCTATCATGGGGAGGGGGGAGGGGGGAGGGATTGCATTGGGAGTTATACCTGATGTAAATGACGAGTTGAGGGGTGCAGCACACCAACATGGCACAAGTATACATATGTAACAAACCTGCAAGTTATGCACATGTACCCTACAACTTAAAGTATAATAATAATAAATAAATTAAAAAAAAAAAAAAAAGGAGGTGTACCAGTAACTAATGAGAATGAAAAGATGCTCAATCTTACTGATCATCAGAGAAATGCACATCAAAAACATACTGCGATACCATGTCGCACAATAGTCAGAATGGCAATTATGACACACAGTCCACAACAACAGAGGCTGGTGGAGCAGACTAGCAAAGAGATGCAGGTCCACTGTAGGGGGAAATGCAAACTAGTTCAGACACCCTGGAGAGCAGTGTGGACATTTCTGAAAGAACTTAAAAGAGAACTACCACCCAGCACTGCAACCCCACTCCTAAGGATCTACCCAAAGGAAAATCCTTCCATCCAAAACACACATGCACTCGTATGTTCACAGAAGTACTACTCACAATGGTAAAGACATGGCACAGAACACTACACAGCCATAAAAAACAAATCCATGCCCTTACCAGAAACGTGGACAGAGCTACAGGCCATTATGCCACAAGGCAAGAACAGAAAACCACAATTTTCAAAACAGCTACAAAGTTCAGTTGTGAATATTCTCTCCACAGAGAAATCATAAGTCTGGAGCTCACAGAGATGCCAGACACTGTGACTTCATGATGATGCTACGTTTACACAGATCAAACTGTGCCTTGCACTCGCTGGTTATACACACAGACTATACGACAATGAAACTGCTGTCCCATTTTGGCAACATTCATTCTCACCAGAGACAGATGCTATCTCAGTGTGGTTTTGATTGACTTCTCATGAGGATCAGTAATGTTGATTCAGAATCTTTAACCTGTGCATCCATCTCAGGTCTTCAGGTCCTTTGTCCACTCTTACACATCAAATTGAAACAAGTTCACAATAACCTGGCCAACATCACTAACCACAAGCAAAATGTAAATCAAAACCACACTTAGACACCATCTCATTCTAATTGGAATGAGTGTTACAAAAAAAGAGAAAAAACATTGAAAGAAAGGGAAATGCTGGTGTGTTTCCAGAGAGAGAGAGAGACACTCTTCTCCATAGTTCGTGAGAAGGTAAACTAGCACACACGCTACAGAAACCACTTGGAGGTTCCTCCAAACCTTAAAAGACTCCAACTACCACTTCAACCAGCAATTCTACTATTAGGAATACACTCAAAGTCATTGAAATCAGGACACCAAAGATAGATCTACCCACCCATATGGATTCCAGCACTGTTCCTAAGAGCCAGTGGAAGCATCAACCTACCTGCTTATCCGCAGACAAGGGAGAAAGAAGCTGTTCCACATGTACACACTGGGATACTCTTCAGACAGAAAATCACAATGACATCATATGGTGGGGAACCACACGGTTGCACCTGGAGGACATGAGGGTAAATTAAATGAGTGAGGGGGAGAGAAACAAACCTTGAGTCATCTCACACATGCAGAAGCTGAGAAACTGTATCAAAGACCTCGGGAGCACAATATTGGTTTCCAGGGATTGGGGGAAAAGATGGGTAACGGGCAGGGATTGTAAAAGGGTACAAAGTTACACATAAATGAGAAGAAGAAAATTCTATTGTTCTATTCCACTGCAGGGTGACCAGGGTTAACAGTATCGGCACATCACTTTCAAAGCAGCCTGACAGGAGAATACTGAAGGTTCTCTGCATAAAGGAATAAACAATCGGAAAAGGTAACAGAAACACTAAGTACCCTGATTTCATCATTCCACAATGTATGCATGGACCATAATGCCCCACTCTACCCTCTCATTGTACTGTTCCTTTACAATGCAACACATTTGATGAAAGAAATAGAAATACATGCTGCTAATATTCATGTGGGACCATGAAGTGCCCCGCATTTCATCCTCCACAATCCTGAGACATCTAGACTACATTGGACACATCACATTTCCTGATTTCAAATTTCATGGAAAAGCTAGGGACCCGCTTCCACACAGATTAGTGGAACAAAAAAGAGGACCAAGAAGTAAAACCACACACTGAAAGCTATCTGATCTAACACAGAATCCACCAAAGTAAGCAAAGGGAAAAGGACACTCTATTCAATCAACGGTGTTGAAATAAGCAGCTAGCCATGTGCAGAAGAATAACACTAGGCCCCTACCTCTCACCAGACACAAAGAGGAACTCAAGATGAATAAAACATATAAACGTAAAAACTCAAACTATTAAAATCCTACTAGAAAACTTGTGAAATATCCTTCTCCACATAGGCTTTGGCAAAGCATTTAGATAGCTAAATCCTGAAGAGCAACGGCAACAAAAACAAACAAAAATTGACAAGTCAGACTTAATAACTGAAAGAGCTGCTGCACAGCAAGAGAGACTACAACAGTTCTACAGAATAGGAGAACATGTTCCCAAACTGTGCATCTGACCAATGTCTAATATGCAGAATTTACAAGGCCCTTCAACAAGTCAACCAGGAGAATAAACAGAAAAAGAATATCCCATTAATATACGGGCCAGGAACGTGAACACATACTTCTCAAAATTCGATGTACAAGCAACCAACAAATAGGAAAACATGCTCAAACTCACTCATTATCAGACAGCTGCCAATCAAAAGCATGATGAGATGCCATCCCATGCGGGTCACAACGGTGAGGACCACGCAGGCAAAGAACACACGCTGGCAAGGCAACCGAGGAAAGGAAACGCTGGTACCTTTTGGTGGGGATGAAAACTAGTACAGACACTGGTGAAAGCAGATCGGGGATTTCTCGAAGAGCTGAAAACAGAACTACCATCTCACCCAGTAAGCCCACTCCTGTGCATCTACCCAAAGGAAAATCAATCCGTCTATCCAAAAGACACAGGAACTCGTATGTTCATGGGAGTGTTATTTACAATGTCAAAGACATGGAATCAACCTAGCCATCAACAGTGGATGAGAGGCAGGCACAGTGGCTCACACCTGTAATTCTAGCACTTTGGGAAGCTGAGGCAGGAGGATCGTTTCAGTCCAGAATTTGAGACCAGCCTGAGCAAAATGGTGAAATCCTATGTCTCCGATAATACAAAAATAAGCAGGATGTGGTGGCGGGCACCTGTAGTCCTATCTAATCCTGCGGCTGAGGTGAGAGGATCACCTGAGAACAGAAGGTGGAAACTGCACATCACTGTCATAAGTGAACTAAGGCCCAAATAGAAAACCAAATGCCACATGTTCTCACTTATAAGCAGGAGCTAAACTGTGAATAGACTCAAACATAAAGAAGAGAAAACAGACACCTGGAATGACCACCAGACCAATAAAAAGAGAGGGGAGAGGCAGCATGTGCTGAACACCAACCCTGTGGGCCCTCTGCTCACTGCCTGGGTTATGGGGTTGTTGGGACCCTTAATCTCAGCGTGATGCAATCAACAGATGTAACTAACTTGCATGTATACCCTTTAAACTATAACAATAAGAGTAGAATGCATTAAAAGAAAAATCCACAGTTATAACCAAAGACAATGCAAGGCTTGGTTCCCTGTTTGTGTGTGTGTGCGCGCGCACTCACGCATGCGCACGCATGTTCGTGTGTTTCATGGAACTGGGGTGTTGAACACAGAAATCACTGCTAACATATGCAACTATAGCCATATGAGACTAGGGACACTTTGCAACTTCTACACGGAAAAGAAAACGATGAAACAAACAAACAAAAAGGCATCCTATGCACTCGGAGAAACTATAAAATATTCTACCCCGAAAGAGGTTGTTACCTAACACGTACAATAAACTGGTATAACTAAGTGAAAAACAACAACAACAACAACAATGACAAATATCCAGGGTAAAAGGATCTAAACAGACCTGAGTGAAAAGAAGGCAGGAAACTGACTCACAGGTGATAATTTCTCAAGATCACTAATCCTTACAAAAATGTGAATCAAAACCATACTTGGCTACCATCAAATTCCACCTAGAATGAGTATTACAAAAGACAAAAATCAACATTGTTGAAGGCAATGGTCAGTGTCGACTTGTAAAAAAAAAAAATCTTCTACACTTTTTGTGGAATGAAAATTACCATACACACTACAAAAAACTTTTGGAAGTTCCTTAAAAAAGTAAAAGATAGGCCAGGCATGACGGCTCACACCTGTAATCTCAGCACTTTGGGAGGCTGAGGCAGGTGGATCACCTGAGGTCAGGAGTTTGAGACCAGCCTCACCAACATGGTGAAATCCCATCTCTACTAAAAATACAAAAATTAGCTAGACGTGGTGGCAGGTGCCTGTATTCCCAGCCACTCGGGAGGCTGAGGCAGCAGAATCGCTTGAACGCAGGAGGCAGAGGTTGCATTGACCTGAAATTGAGCCACTGCACTCCAGCCTGGGTGACAAGAGCAACACTCCGTCTTTAAAAAAAAAAAAAAAAAAAAAAAGGGTAAAAGTACAACCATCACGCCAGCTAACAATCCCACCACTGGGTACATATTCAGAGAAAATGAAATCCCTGTGTTATCTGCCTTTTCACGTGTCCTGAAGCCCTAGTCACAATAGCCAAGATGCGGAATCAACCTACCTGTCTATCCACAGAGGAAGGGATAAAGGAACCACAGTACATGTACACAAGGAAACACACATCAGCTGTAACACTTCAGGAAATCATGTCATCTGCAACCACTTGGAGAAACCTGGAAGACAATTAGGTGAAATGAAACGAGTCTGCTAGGGAGAGACCCACACTGCATGACATCAGGTACACAGAATCCAGAAAACATTGTCTCCCAGAAGCAGAACTTCCAACAGGGGTCACTAGAGGCTGGGGAGAGCAGGGAGCCTTGGCAGGGATTGGTAACAGGCACAGAGTGACGTTCTGATATGAGGAACCCATTCTGGTATTCTATTGCACAGCAGGCTGACTAGGTGACTAGGGTCAACAGAATCTAGAAAAATTTTTCAAAATCAGCTGGAAAATACGGTTCTGAATATTCTCTCCACAGAGAAATAATAATGATGGAAGGTCACAGAGATGCCAGATATGATCATTTGATCATGATACTACACATACATATGTCAGAATGTCCCTTGCACCCTTGGGTTGTGTGTGTGTGTATATGTGTATACACATATACACACACACACATACTCTATAGAAACAAAACTGCCATCAAATGTTGGTAGTATTCATTCTAACTGGAGTGACACGAAATCTTGAGTGGGATTTTCACTTACGCTTTTGTGTGAATCAGCGATGGTGAGTATCTTCTCTTTGACCTGTGCATCAACCTCATGTCTTCAGGTCCTCTGCCCAGTACTACACAACAAATTAAAACAAATTCAGAATAACGTAGCAAGTACCACTTATCACACACACACAAAAATCAAAAACACACTCAAGATTCCATCTCACTCTACATGCAATGGATGCTACAAGAAAAATGGTGAAACACATTAAAACACAAAACAAGGCGTGGATTTCCAGAGGAGGAACCTGTCTCCACAGTTGGTGGGAAATGGTGAACTAGTATGCACACTAAAGAAACCACCTGGATGTACCCTGAAATCCTAAAACTACAACTACCGTTTTCTCCAGTAATTCTATTCCTAGGTACATATGCAGAGCACATGATCAGGACATAGAAGAGATGATCGATCACCCCAGGTGGAATTCAGCCCTATGCACAAAAGCCAAGATAAGCAATCAGCCTCCCTGTCCATCCACAGATGAAGGGATGAAGAATCTCTAGTACACAGACACAGTGGAATACTTTTGGGCCATCAACATTCATGGAATCCTATCATTTCCAGCAACATGACTGCACCTGGAGATACTCTGTTCAATCAAATCAGAAACGCAGACAAAGACCAAGCCTGCATGTTCCCACTCATGTGGGAGCTGAAAAATGCAACTCACTGAATGTGAAAGTATAGCAGTGGTCACCACAGACTAGGTGGAGGAGAGGACATCAAGGATTGGCAACAGGCACACAGAGAGTTACAGGAGAGGAGAACATTCTGGTGTTCCACTCCAAAGCAGGGCGATGACACTTAACAACATGGTCGTGCCGTTTTCAAAACAGCTACCAAGGAGGATATTGAATATTCACACACCAAAGATATCAAACCTATATCTGGTCACAAGCATGGGAAACTCCCTGATTTTATCCATACTCAAGGTATACAAACAAGTATCACAATGTCCCAATGCACCCCTAATTCTGGACATGAAGTATGAAACAAATGTTTAAAGGAATGTGAAGGATACACGGCTAAAATTTCACATGGAACCACCAAACACCCACAGATCCTGAATATGCAAAGCAATCCTAGGGAATACAAGCTCAACTGGAGGCCTCACACTTCCCAATTTCAAATTACATGTAAAACCTCCACTCACCAAAGACGACAGTAGTGGCATAAAAATGAATCCATGAACCTAGGGACATAAGAGAACCTAAACGCACACCTGTATGCAGTCAACACATTTTCTTCAAAGGAATGCCTAGAAGATGCAATGAGGCTGGGTGCTGTGCTTCACACCTGTACTCCCAGCACTTTGGGAGACCAAGTTAGGCAGATCACTTGAGGTCAGGAGTTTCAGACTAGCTTGGCGAAAATGGTGAAATCCCATCTCTAGTAAAAATACAAAAAATACTAGTCAGGTGTTGTGGCGCACAGCAGCAATCCCAGCCACTTGGGAAGATGAGGCAGGAGAATCGCTCGAAGCAAGGAGGCAGATGTTGCAGAGAGCTGAGATCTCGCCACTGCACTCCAGTGTGGGCGACAGCATGAGTGGGACTGTGTTCCGAAGGGGAAAAAGATGAGATGAGGAGTCAGCAGTCTGTTCAATTGAGTAGTCTGAAATGACTGGATAGCCACATCCAAAACAATGAAATAAGACCTTGATGTTATACAATAACAAACATAAACTCAAAATACATTAAACACTAAACACAAGACGTAAAAGTGTAAAACTGCTACATGAAAACACAGAGTGAGCTTATGTTTAGGAAATCCTGAATCTAAGCTCGCAGGATGTAAAAGCAAACAACAGAAAAAAACAAAAACAGGAAAAAAAACCACTTCCAACAATCGAAGTTAAAAATCCTAGTATCTGGGAAAACAAGGCAGTGGTGTGGCAAGAAAGGAGCTCCAGGCATAGGAACCTGCAGCTTGAGAGGGGAAGGGAACTGCCCAAAGCCACTTGGCAAGACAGTGACCCATGACACCAGGAAGGCTGTGCAAACCACTTCCGGCAACTGGCATCTCATTGCAGACACACCCCACTGTCAGGTCCAGAAAGCTGACCACACTGAGTTCCAGAAATCACCCAGAAAGCCTTGTGCCCTGAGTGGGCCATGGTGAGGGCCATGGCGGGGCAGAGCAGGGTGGTGGGCGCATGGGGGCCTGATATCCTGAACTGCAGTCATGAGGCTGACAATGAGTGAGCAATGCGGATGGGTCCAGATGCAAGCCGTGCCTGGCCCATATTCCACAACTGCTGGAACAACATCTCAGGGACCCCTGGGAGCCAGAAACCCAATAATTATCCAGGACATTTTGTGTCCCCTGGTGTCCTGCACCAAGGAGATGCTTGGTAAACTGGCTAAATGAAACTGACTTCAAATACAAGTAGCATAGCATTTGAGTCAATATTAGGATTACAGAATCTTAACTGCTTGGTCTCTGATCTTCCAGCATTTCAGAAAGGTCGGCTTAACATACCTTCCCCAATGGGGAGCTCACTACCTTCAAAGACAGCGGGACTGTAGTTGGTTGGCGAGTTCTTACAAACCTTAAGTGCGAATTTGCCTCTTTGTAACACCTGCTGCAGGTGGGCCTGGCCTCAGATCCTGCCTACTGTCTAAAGTCACAGAGCAGAGAAGCAGGGACCAACCCAGATCCCGTACCTGGCCACAGCTTCTCTGAGCCACAAACACCACACTGAAGGGATTTTGGAAGGAAGACTTCAGCTCAATGAAAGAGCTGGTGCCACTCAGTTGTGATGGAGGGAGGTCAGCACAGGCCAACTGTGGGCATGGGCAGAGCTCCTGTGCCCCCAGAGCACGGCCAACACTCCCAGTGCCATTTGCAGCATTTATTATTCCAGCACCTACCTTTCATGTGACAACACAGGATGGAGCACGGTCAAGTGCATGGGTCCCTCAGAATTGTCAGCTTGTGAATGCCTGGGAGCACCCAGCCACAGGGCTGGCCTGGCACTTGGTGGACCAAGTCCAACTACCAAACCCAGAGGCAGGATGGCAGAGGCATGGGCCCTAGAGTCCCTGGGTTCAAACTCAACCCCAGCCACTGACAGTGTGGGTATCACTGCAGCCTTTCCCTTCCTGGCCTCAGTCTCCTACCTGAAGAGCACGGATGACTAGAACAGTTGCTGGGTGGATTCCCTGAGAGGGCCACGCGCAGACTGTAGGAGGCACCTGCTACTTTTGAGGCCTCACAGGGTCTCGCCAGGCTCCAACACTGGGCTGTAGGAGCTTCTCTCCTTTCCTGATGAGCAGCTCAGAGCAGGGGCCCAAAGCGCGACCCTCCTGGCCACCCTGTCCTCCCTGCCCAAGGCACCCTCCACAGGTAGGATTTATCACATCGCCTCCTAATTATCTGCAGTGCCTCAAAACTCCAAGGAGAGGCTGGGGGTGGAATGTCCATGCCTCAGCGCCGACGCTATCCCACAGCCTGGTCTCCAGGAAAGCCAACCCGCTCCTGTCTCAACGCCTCCCTGGTGATGCCCAAGACCACCTGTTCTCATACAGCCCCCCGTGACTTCACTGATGCCAAAATTGCCCAGCACTTTCCATGCATGCCATGCTCTCATCTGGACTTTTGGGGACCTCCCCCTGCCTCACAGCAGCACCTTCCCAACCTCCCTCGCTTCTTGGATGCTGGGCTCAGGAATGCTTAAGCTGATGAGTCTGTGCCCTGCATCCTTGCTGGTCCTGTCCAACTGCTCCTGCCTCTATACCCTACTCCCAGCCTCACCTGACCCCCAGTTCCCAGGGTCCACCCCTCTCACCTGGAGACTCCCAATCACAGGTCTCAGCCCCCCTGCTGGTTTCCCTACTACAGCCCTGGCAATCCGCATGCAAATCCGAGCACACCCCTCCTCCACTGCAAAAAAAAACAAAAAACAAAAACACTCCGGAGGCCCCCCTTGTCCTACCCTGCTGATGCCCATCCTTTCCCCCTTTTTTTTTTTTTGTTTGTTTTGTGGTTTTTTTGAATGGGTCAGCTGGATATGAACCATCCTTTCCTGTTGCTCCTTCCTGGTCTTTGGGACTTTACACTGACTCCATTATCATGGAGGCACTCTTCAGACACCAATCACAGTGCCACCTCCTCCTCAAGCCCTCCGGCACTGCATCCCACTCTGTAGGCCGGCTGCTACTGCTGCCTCCTCCACAGTATCCACAGTGCCCAGCAATCTTCACTGAACGAATGGATGCCAGCTGTCAGGTGCCTAGCTGTTTTTAGTAATACACATCTTCTAGGACGTTACACTGAATCTACCTAGCCACCTGACAGCTGGCAACACTAATCTTGTAATCCCAGCACTATGGGAGGACAAGGTGGGTGGATCACTTGAGACCAGGAGTTTAAGACCAGCCTGGGCAACATAGTGAGACCCTGTCTTTAATTTTTTAAATTTTTTTTAAAGGCCAAAGAAGACAGGATTTGGGGAGCTTCATGTGGAGGCTGACAGGAAGGGATCAAGAACTCATCCACAGCCAGGCCCACTGGCTCATGCCTATAATCCCAACACTTCGGGAGGGCGAGGTGGGTGGACGGCTTGAGCCCAGGAGTTCACCACCGGCCTGGGCAATATAGACAGACCCCATCTCTACCAAAAATAAAAAAATTAGCTGGGCGTGGTGGCACATGCTTGTGGTCCTAGCTACTTGGGAGGCTGAGGGGGACAATCACTTGAGCACAGGAGGCAAAGGCTGCAGTGAGCTCAGATAGTGCCACTGTACTCCAGCCTGGGCAACAACAAAAAAACCCAACTCATTCACATGTCCAACTCTACCAGGACACAAACTTCTGTATTTGGGAATCTTCCAGTCTTCACCTTATATTATCTCTTCATCTGACTGTTTATTTGTAGCCTTTATTTATCTCGATTTTTGTGATCCGCCCACCTCAGCTTCCCAAAGTGCTGGGATTACAGGCATGAGCCACTGGGTCCGGCCTGTTTTTAAAAAAATAATATTTTATTATTTAAAACAACCCTTCATTGAAGTATAATTGAAACACAATAAAGTGGACATTCCAAGCATTACTGGATTTAAGTGTGCA